AGATATCTCAGCACCCACCAGGCCGATTTTGACGTTCTAACTACCATTAGATGCGTTTTGACAAGCTTTACAAAAGTTTCTTAAGCAAGAAAGGTGATTAACTTAGTATGAAAAAAAGTTTACCTTGGGCGATCACCATATTCGCACTATAGTAAATTTATATAGTAATCTGAGTCATATTTTACTATGATTATTCTTCAGATAACTGGTGGATCATCAATTAAAATACTTTTTATTACTTCTAACAGACTTTTGCTTATAATTCTAAAAATGTCTAAAGATTAGAACGATATCTGAACTCGGCTTCTAATTAATGAACGAAAAAATAGAAATGTGAAGTATTATGATCTTCGTAGAAGACATAGAAATGAATTTTGGGAAAGCATTGCTATCAAAATTAATAAACAACATGGATCGAACTTTAATAAGTATCACTGTAAAGAAAAATTTTTAACTCTTACCCAGGATTATAATATAAATATGAGTCAGAGACTCTTATGCCTTGCATATACGAACTTTATCCACTTTTATTTGTTTTTGGTGCTTTTGATCTGCATAGATTAAGATCTGATAATTATTAAAAAAAAATAGAAGATGCATTTATATTTGGCAAGAAATTGCGGAGAACAAAAAAGCCGAGATGGAGAGCGTTATTTTGAGGAATTTCAAACCCATTTTTGGAAAAAACCTGATAAGTTGATTTATCCTTTGTGCAAGAGTATCACTTCTTTTTTTAATAACTTTACAAATACATGTTATTTTTAGTATCTCAATTCGATCGAAGACGGCAAGAAATTAGACGAAGTTGTTCCCCACCACCATATTATGAGGAAGCAATATCATCACTAAGTCGAGAGTCATTATTCTCTAGTCAAAAAAGTCAATCCACTTCTCCTGTAAGGTTATCTTTTTGTAAAGAAGACAATAATGAGCATTCCGTTGTTCTTTGGCATAGGGAGAATAGGAATGGTAGAGGCTAAATTTTTATGTAATGTGTCCATACTACGTATAGCATTTAACTTTTGTACTTTGCTTGCCTATTTGAGGTAAAAAAAAAATAAATATGTATCCAAGAATATTTTGTGTGATTTTATTACTTAAACATATCAAAGATAAATTCATTATTCTAAAAAATTGTAAAGGCATAGGACTTAATGGTCACATGGGATGCGAAATCAAAACTATTCATAATTTGTTTGTATCTTGATAAAAAAATTGTGATAAATGTTTGATCAACATAGTATATAAATAACGAAGTACATAACAATAACGGTTATTCTAAATTTGTAGATCTGGCTTAAATATAGCATGTAAAATTATCACTCTACCGTATAGCCAAATGTGTCTCAACAAGTTATTAACGTTGACAATGTAATTCCAAATATAGAATGTGCGACTATTGTTGATTTGTTGTGTCCTAGCCGAATTTAGTAAACAATTTAATTATTTGTTTACGTAGTAATTATCATATTAAATTATTGTAATATGATGTGCAATTGTTTGCTAGCACTACTATATTGAATTATTGTAAATATTAAATTGCCAAGTTATGTATGCTGATAAAATATTTGGCAAATTTATAAATTGATACACATTAGGAGAAAATATATCTTTAGATATAATCTCATTTTTTAATAAAAGGACTACACCCCAATATAGATGCTCATAATTTATTTTTTATAATATTGTAAGCTTTGCTATATATCGCTAAAAATTTTTACCTGTTAGCAACATATCGAGAACGTTTTTTTAAAAATTTTATAAACAATGCAAGCATCTATTGAGAAATATAAAAATGAAATTTCTGATGTCCGAAGAGAAACCAGTCAAAAAGTTATCACATCACACTTGTTATAATAAAAAAAGTAGGCTTGAAAAAAAACAAAATTTAGCCTTGTTAATGGATTATAATGTGTCAAGACCGATTTTACTATTGATAACAAGCAATATTATTTTTGATCCAGATCGGGTATATATTGTTTTTGTCTTAGATTTCAGATTTACTCCCATGCCTGAATTATTTTTGTATTGATCAGTCAATCGTCCAAGTTACTTACTACAAGTATACTTAAGCTATGCAAAAAATTGTTGTTTTGCAACTAGGGTCTCTGGCTTCTGTATGTTATATGTTTGAAAGAGCATAATCATCATTTTGATAGCTCAGTACTTTGGCTTGGGTGGTTTGTTTAGTCCGCAAAAAATATACAACTTAGTGTGGGTTTATATAATCATTCATATCGATAATTGCATCAGATATCTAATTTTATTTTCCATTATATTAGTACCAGACCCAATATACGACTCAGAGATTGTATATGTGTGATAAAATTTATTATATTGAAAATGAATGGAAGAGTGTCCCTCTTTGTCCATTGGATCGTATATCATTGGAGGGTGTCAAAATTTGCAAAGAAATTTTAGCCAAAGATCTTTTAGTTAATATGCTAATTCGAGAGGCAAGATTAGCTAATAATATTGAGTTATCTGATTTCCTGTCTAATTTCCTTCTGTTAGTAAATAAAAAAATAATTAAAATAAGAGAGCATGATAATGTCAATTCCTATTCTGATAATGCAAAAAATAAATGTTTATGGGTCACTTTTGGTCACTGGTTGGAGATAGAGGAACCGGTTATAAAAAGAGATGTGCGTCGTCACCTCTGGTTTAAATAGATAGATCTTAAATATGCTGTTGATTTTCAAAACAATGAATCACAAGATATTTTAAGAACCACCTCATATATTTCTTGAAAAGAGAAAGCCAGTTTAATAATATCTGCCCGGGGTAATCTCTTTTCGTTTAAAAAATTAGTAAAACTTCACTATTTAACCATTTCGGATTATGTTATGGATATAGAAGGTAGAACCTTAGTACACTTGGCATTACCAAATAATCCAAAGGCAGTTATACAAATAACAGATACTATAAACCATTATTATTTTTACACCCTAAATAACCCTTTCTATCGTAGTAATGAATTCTGAAAAAATTTCATAAAACATTTTGGTGCATATACACGAAATAACCTCCTCCCATTTACTAGTTCAAATACTACAAGCTCTTATAATACCACACACCAAGAATGCGTTAACACTTTACTTTGCAATCTTGGCCTATTATTAATCTCTGTTAATAAATTTGTATAAAAATTCTATGGAAATTTATATGAAAAACTAAAGAAGTTGGCATGAGATCTCTTTGCACCTCGACCTTTTGGAATCTTTCTGATAATCGCTATTAATTACAATACAACTAGCGATTACCATTGGGACGAACATGATGAACCAAATAGTTTATGCTGTTTGGTCACTCTTGGAGAATTTGAGGAAAGAGAATTATATTTTCCTCAACTCCAGATCGTTGTACCGCTTTAGCCTGAACAAGTTGTGGCATTTTCCTCGCGTCTTCTACTCCACAGCAACTTCTCACTTACAAAAGGTATTCACTATAGTATTGTGTATTTTGTACATAATATCTTTTTTCATAATCTACAAAAATTCAATGCCATATATGATGATTTGAAGGATGGAATTGAGAAAAATTCTAATAGACATGATATTCTTTTTATTAAATATCAAAATCTCAATAATGCTCAAGGTTTGAATTCCCAAAATATGTTTTTTTTTTAAGCCGAAAAAAAGACAAATAACAATTCCTTCTTTATCAATGGATTGTAGAAGGGGTCATATTTCTTTGGTACGTACTAGGTATGGGTTGAGGGCAGAAGATCTACTTCCAGATTTATAAATAATTGGTAGAAATATAATATATTTTTATTGTATTACATATAAATATATAATGTATATTTAAAAAAATAAATTCTTGTCTCCTTCAAATGTGCGGTTTTTACATAATTCTGCTAATATGAGTTTACAATTCTTACTACAACCAAATATGCATTTCTCTCATTCTCATTATATACATGTTATGAAGTTACCTAAACTACCATGTATTTGTTAACTTCAACTATTAGTTTTTAACTCACTTGGCTATTAACGATAACTAGCGTATCATGCCAGATACTACCACCAATTCAATATGATCACTTAGATAACAGTTTACTATGTCCTAGTCCAAAGACCGTTGAATCTTTATTTACAATTTGCTATTTAAGCGATTCAAATAATTACATACTTTGTATCACAGTTTAATTATTTCTTTGTTATTAATTAATTAAACTTTTCATTGTTCACCAACCCAACATTATATTCATGCAATCAATGATCAAGGTACCTTCGTACCCGATCTTGCATGTGTCACCCCATATTTCGATTAATCTCCGACTCTCAATTATCAGCATGTCTCTGATCAATCACATAATCACATGAATCAATCGCTCTATATTTCTTATTTGCTTTTACGCTCTTTATTTTACTAATGAGCTCATTATCTATTTGCATACCTTTTATTAGATACAAGGGCCCTTTGGAAACTATGCGACAATACATTACTTGTGAATATACACAACTCATTTAATAACCCAACCTGCACAAAAAATGAATTGCGATATTCATTAGTATATAGTTAATAAAATCTGTTAAGTCTATAAGACTTATATAATCACCAAACGTACTAATAAGTCTATTAAATTGTTAAATATATTAGGTCTTGTTATCCCTATTATTATTGATAAAAAAGCTAAATTGCAAAAACTCATTAATAATCATTCTGGATATAATATGAAATATGTGGAATCGTATATTTACAAATATTGTAGTATTAATGATTATCAACGATTCTTTGATAAACTCTTTGAAACTAAAAGATAATACAATATGTTATCAGTTATTAAACTATACGAAACTCCAGTACAGTGGGATATTCAGGTCAGAATTCCTTTACAAGAGCTGGTCTCTAAAAAGAAAAAAAGTGTATATCATATACATAGTTTATTTGGTGCATTTGAAAATTCTAAGCTAGTTAATCATGACTACTAAAGACCTAGAATCTATAAGGCCAATGTGGCAATATGTCTAGATTGTATAAAGCTTATTCATATTGATGATGTAAAACCAAAAAAGACATTTTATTATGCTAGAAGTAGATATGTCAAAATTATCAAGCTAGAAGACTTGATGCAAAAACACTAGGATTGGGAGTGTAATAAACCAAAAACTGATTTCGGATATACTCAAATTATACAAAGAGCATTTCGCCAATTCAAAGAAAGAGTACTATCAAATGCATGACTTGCTTAGTTAAGTTTACCAAATGATAATACTCCAGATAATAAGAAATTTTTGGGTTTAACTTCTTGCAAAGTGAAAAATCCAATCTCTCTAAATCAAATTAAAATGCATCTTAATAAGGAATATGCCGAGTATATAAAAAAATATAATAAACGTCCATATATTGCTAAATTTGAAATTAGTAGATATCAGGAATATATTATTTTATACGATTAGATAGGTAGAAAGAAAAACCAATTACAGAATAAATTTCAAAAGCATCTTTTAGCACTTGAAGCATAAATAAAATCAATTTCTTAATTATATTATTTATTCAATTTATTAACATAATGTTTTTTGTATAGAGTAGTTGTCCACTGTTTTTTTAATACTATTCTTGAGATCACAATTAGGTAGTACACAAAGATCTATGAAGTGCATACTATAATACTATAGCCTTTTCAGGTTTAGAATTTGTGGGCTTCACAGTAGTGGTCGTACTCTAGGGTATAGTAACCGGTTAACCGTGAGGTTACCCAGATAACCGGATGGTAAAATTGGTTAACGGATAAATTATTAAAATATCTGGTTAATCTAAAAGATAATTAGGTTAAAATAGAGTAAAATATAATTATATATCATTATTTATATATGCGTCAAGTTAAAATCTGCGATTAAAATAATTGTAATCCTATCTTTACATCATACTCGATACATATATCGATTATGTTCTAATGTGTTTTAGAATTGCTTTGTTTATAAATTTTTGATAAAATACTATATGATATTAAATGTTTATATTGTATTGACTACGATATATGTTAAAAACAAGTTTATTATATAATAAAGTCCAAAACATAGTGACAATATTAGCATCACTAGTCAGGATAGAATAAATTTGAGTTGGTTATATAAATCAAGCAAAAATGTTAATAAATTATTAAAATGATAGAGTTTATTGTCTGAAGCATAAAAGTATATAGAAAATTTCTTTAATTAATTATGTAAATTTGATTGGCTAATAGCCATGTATTGATCTTACCCGAATATAACCTAGAATATAACTGTTAACCTCTTACATCAATAGGATATAAAACCGGTTATTGGATTTTATTAAAAGTTATAACCTTTTAGGTAAAAGGTTAACCGGATACGACCACTACTCCACAGGTAATACATTTTTTATTTTGCACTTTTGCCGTAATTCTATCTCTTTCTGCAAATCTAGTGAAGTATCAAATTTTAACCAGATTGCTAGAGGATCATCCTCAGGCCTATCTAAATCAAATACAATAAATTCACCTTTATGCAGATAACTATTAATAACCATTGATGCATTTTTTTACATCATCTGTATAATAACCAGCTATCTTGAACACATCTTGATAACTACTACCTCTCATTAAATATAACTAAGTGGGTAAGATTTTCACAAATAATTATTGGACATGATGATATTTTTGTGTTATATAGATTGGACTTATATTTCGATAACGCCCATGTGTGAAGAATGAAATGATTCAATTTTGAAAAAATTCTCTATTGTTGGAGCAATGGTAAGGGTTTAGGGTCAATAATGCCAAAATAATGATTTTCCCACAATGGTACTTTATTTTTGTTCTTTGTTTTTTGTCTGCACAATGTCATATTTGCAGTGTTGTTAATTTAACTAGGTAAATAACAATTGACTATTTGAACCAATGAACCAATTATTTAATCAAATTAACCAGATCAAGACATTTAAACAATTACGATAAAAATAGAACTGCATTTTATATTGTTAAATAAGTAGTTATTAATCTATTTATATATAATTATTTCAACTTGTATTTCTTCGAATAACTTCTTTATAATAACGAAATATAAAGTTAAAATTTTATACTTAATATTATAATAAAGATGGGAAAAAGACAATATCTATTTACATCTTATTTTATAATTTCTGAAAAAAAAGCAAATTCAATACATCATTTTGCAGTTTGCTGATCATATAAACATGCATACCCTGATAAAGAAGAATCTGAATTAAAGTTTGTCAATAAAAAATCTACATGCAAAAATCATTTGCATAGCTATAAAGCTTTTAGTAATGAAGTTACTTTTGAAAAATATAAAAGAATATTAAATTTAAATGGTGAATTTGTACAATTTTTAGATTTTGACAATAATGAAGAAAATTCTTGTTCTTTATCTCAAAGTCAAAGTCAGGCTTCTTTACTATTAAAGATTTCAAAAAAACAAAAATTAAATAATTTAGTAGCACAGCCAATATATACATATGATCAGGAACAATTTAACCGGTCAATTCTTTATGCTACAATATTAACCAGAGTTGCTTTTAGATAGGTAAATGATATATATGTAAAAAAAGCATTTGCAATTGCAAATCCAACTATAAAATTACCAAATCAGATTAATTTAGCAGGAAAAATTTTAGATAATGAAAAAAAGTCTGTTCAAGATCATTTAATATCTGTAGCGAAAACTAATGAGCAAGGTGTAATATTGGCATTCGATGGCTGGAAAAATATTGTAAAGCAAAATATATTAGGTGTTATATTAATAACTTCAAGTGGCAAGCCACTAATATGGAAAGCAGAAGATATAAGTAGAAATTTACAAAACTGGCAAACGATTTACAAATATGTTATTGAATTTTTTGAAGAAGCAAATAATAATAATATTATAATTATTGTATTAGTAACTGATTCAGCATTAGAAAATGCCATGGCAAGGTAAATTTAATTAAGCTATAATATGTATGCATATTATTAAATTAATATAAATATTTATAATAAATATTTTAATTTAGAAAACGATTGCAAAAAAATATTAGAGATAAAGTTTTTTTGCCTTGTTTTGCATATCAAACAAATCTTTGTGTGGGCAATATTTTTAAAATATCAACTCAATTTATAAAGACTTCTAGTAAAGCTATTTGCCTTGTTACTTTTTTTAATAAGTCTACATATTTTTTAGCTAAATTACGTACAGAGCAACAAGAACTTTATGGAAAATATATTACACTAATAATACCAAATGATACTTGTTAAAACAGTCATTACTATTGTTTTAAAAGTATTCTCAAAACCAAAATTGCTTTAAAGGTATATTTATATTTTAAGTTTCAAATATTTGCCCGTAGATATATGGGGGTGAGAAGGGACAAATCGTTTTTAGTAAAAATTTTTTAATTTTTAAATTAAAATATCTCAACAACTAATTAATCAAATTTGCTAAAAATTTTTTTATTTTAATCTTGAAATTATATAGAATTAAAATAAAAAAAAATTTATTAAATTTGATAAGATAATTGCCAAGATATTTAAGTCTAAAGTTAAGAAAACTTTTACTTAGAAAAAATTTGTCCCTTTTTTATTGACTCACCCCCATATTTAATAATATTTTTTTAATAATATAATATTAATTTATTTATTTTATAGGCATTAGTTATTAAAAATTCTATTGAGCCTAAAGCAATTTCATCTGAAATTTGTGATACAATTAATAATGAACAATGGTGATATAACTTACAAAATTTAGAAACTTTAATTTATCCATTTTGTGCTATATTAAATAAACTTCAGAGTCAATTACACGATGTGCTACATGGTTTTGAATATTTAATGAAAGTTATTAAACAACAAGAGACTTCTGATTTTTGGACCAAGATGATTGAAAAATTAGAACAACGCTGGAAACAATGGGAACAACTATTGTTATTAATATCCTTTTTACTTCATCCAGCATATAGATTAACAAAATTTAACAAAGATATTCCAACATTAAATTTAGTAATATTGGGTAAATGGATGATTTATTATTATATGGCCTGGTTTAATGAAAAGCCTTTAAAGATTTTTTCTGAATTGAATGATTGGTTTGATAAAAAATATACTTTTGATGATGAAAGCTTCGATAATTTTGATAGAGATATATTATAAAGTACTAAAAATTTGTTTCACGAGGTAGAGCAAGTGAATTAGGTAATATTGCACTATGTATTTATTCAATTTGTGTTAATTCAGCCTCAGTAGAAAGATTATTTTCTACTATGGGTTTTTTTTATACAAAACGGTGAAACAAATTAAAGGTAATAATTTAGATATTAATTAATTAAATTTCTTAGTCTAATTACTATTTAATAAGAGCAATTTTCAACTTGAATTATTTGCATTATTAGCCTTCAAAAGTATTAGCCATGTGTCAAATTCGAGCTAAAATTTATCAAGATGAAACAAATGCTAATATAGACTATGCCCAGGAATGTTTTTATTCTAATAGTATATTGAATAATCAACTAGATGAAATGGAAATAGAGAACCTTGAAGAGGCAAATTCTATACAAGATGACAAAAGAAATATGTTAATAGAAAATGACATTGAATTAGAAGAAGAATGGCATAAAATAGTTCAACATTGGATTGAATTATTAGATGATGATGCCGATTTATATGAAATTGAAGATGATAGCGATAATATTTTAAATAGTTTGTTAACTATTTTTGTAGAAAATCTTGATGACAATATTTGTCAACAAGTTAATGATTTAGAACATCCCGCAGAAGATAACTCAACTAAATGGAAGCTACATGATTTATTTGTTACAGACTTAGAAATTCCGAATTATTTTAATATGCTTTAAAGATGTTTTTTTTATTATCGCTTTTTTTTTTTTATATTATATATTATTATATATTTTTTTTTACATTATTGCTATATATATTTTTTTTTATATAATCGTTATCACAATTTTAATAGTGTCGGTATATAAATCGGTATATAAATCAGTATAAATCAGTATTAAAAAATTTGAACCAGGTCAAAAAAATGTCTTGTCTTATGACTTGTCTTGAACCGGTTAAATAACCAAGGTTCAAAATTCCAAATAAAGACATTAACAACACTGTATGTATATTTGAGTTGTCTGTGTGTCACAAGGCGAATCTTCCTTTTGTGAATGAGCACACTTATAAATAACGTCTACTACAGTCCAACTCACTAAAAAAAACGGCTCTTTTATATTGAAATAAAAATATCTGTTGTTATTAAATAAAGCATGTCGCAATTTTCACTCTCAATGGCAGATGATTCTGAATTGACCAACAGAGAATATTTTCGTCTGTTTTCTGAAGACCCAAAAAAACCCTGGAGAGTGACGAAGAAGCGCAACCTTTACTTAATAAACGTACTAACACAATATTTTATCGCAAAATGGATGCGGAAGAAGAAGCGCTTGGAACTCTGACCGAAGAGAATCTCCAACATACAGGGCCTGGAGAAGACTCTCAAAGATAGGTTACAACTAATGTCAACAAGGCAACTGGGTTTAATAACAAAAATCATCATGGAATACCAATCGTCTTGGAAATTGAAGTTGAAAAAAGACACTTTTTAAATGAAATTTATCCAGGAATTATCAGTCAACGTGGTGCGCGTGGAAATCCCAAGAAAAGTGTAGTCAATTTCGAAGGCCTTGAAACGCCAAATAATTATTTAGGTAGTCCGCCACTTGAGAATAGCCATTACAATCTTGGAATTTCAAATACAGATTTAGATAGACTTCGAATTCATGATATAGGTTTGCCTAATGATCCTGAAGCATTGATGGACTTCTTAAAGGAATATATATATACTACAAAGTAATGTTAATAATATGACAAGTTACTTGTATTAGTTTAGAGAAGTTTTATAATAAAGCTTTGTCCAATTATATTTTTAATAATATGTATGCTGTCTATCAGAAAAATAAAATAATTGAATATAATAGTGCATATGTAATGATCATGGAGCATTTGAAGTTTAAAGTTTACTCAATAAGATCTAATTCTCAAAGATGCTCTGGAATAACTTTATATGGGTTTTTGTAGTACCAAACATACCTTAAAACAATTCAATTCTCTTCACACAATTTTTTCTTGAGTTGATCTCGCTCTTGCTGTTTGATTTTTTTTTTTTTTTTTTTTTAATATTTAGGTGACCACTTAGGCCCCTGGCACTTTATTAGTTCAAACGGGTGGGC